AGAGAAGAACAGAACTCCCCTCCTTCATAAAACCCTCCGGCAGCGGCAGACAGAAGCGCGTTGCCAGTGACCTCAGTCCTGTTATGACGGTGACACATGGCCGACCTCGCGTCCCAGGGTTCGCCGGCGGTGCTGCAGGTGGACGGAGCAAAGCAACCGCATCCCGCAAGGCAGCCCGACGGGAAAGCCCCGGGATGGGCCAGCAGGAACACAGCATTCAGCCGCGGCGCTTAACTGCGAGAGAAAATCAGGACAGCTCACTAGGAGGGGAGAAACACCGGGGCCGAGCGCAAGCAGAGATAGCGCACGCACTCAAAGAACTATTTGCTTAAAGTATGAGACAAAAAAAACCCCATATTACAAAGTATATTTAAGTAAGTATTATAAAGTATACTTAATTATTGTGCATTTACCCTGTTGAGAGCGAGAGGCAGAAGCTGGAGCGCTCTTGAGCCCCGGCAGGGGTAGTCGGGCTTTACACCTGCATGGAAACCGGTAAGAAGGAAAAAAGTGATTTCCCTGTTTTTCTGAGCGGAGGAAACAGCCCCATTTCCTTGTACAGTTGGCTTGGAAAGAGGAAACACTACTGACCGCCCGGGCGGCATCCGCTGGGCACTTTTTAATGCCTGTGAGTAAAGCACATGCACGGAGGCACCTCCCCGGCCGCCAACACGCTCCCGGCAGGGCAGCGCTATTGAGGTGTTTCACTGAGCCGGTAGTAACTACGGGCTTTGAGACGTTTCAGGGATGAAGGCAACACTTACAGTTGTGGAGTTGTACCGTGGAAGGCTGAAAATACACAGGTGAGTATAGAAAGATGGATGTGCTCCTGACTGTGGAGTGTTACCTGCCTAAATCGTAACAGGAGGGAAAACGGGGCTGGGAGGGATGTCATGCCCAAAGCACGAAGAGAATGGTGTCCTTGAGCTGTCACGCGATGGTTAAAGAACTGGCCCATTGCAGGAGGAATTGCCCTTGGCGATTCTCTTTGCTCTCTACTGGGCTCCATCTTTCCCTCAACTCATTTTCACAAAGCTGAAGACCCGCCTCCAGCTTTCCCTGAATTCTTTGAGCCCAAATTCACGGCTCCTCCATGACCCACAGCAGCTTCCCGGGACATGCCGACGTCCCGACCAGGCACGTTCCTGGCCCCGCACCAACACAGACATCCCTTGCCTGCGTATGATTTTATCCACGTTTCAGATGCTCCTTTACTCTTCTTAGTCACTGCTGCAAAACAGCGAGGCCAAAAAATACTGCTTTGTGAACCGTTTGATGGCTTTTTCTACCTCTAAACACCTCTGAGACCTCTTTACTCCCATCATCATCCTTTTTTTGCCCTGAATCTCTCCAGCAGTGCCATCCCAGCACAGGAAGCGTTCCGACAAGCGGTGGGAGGCGAATTTCTCCCTCATATCCCATCTCAATCTCCCCTCTGTCAGTGTCAAACCGTTCCCCCTCGTCCCACGGCTCCCCTCCCTGATCCAGAGTCCCTCCCCACTCTCCCGGAGCCCCTTTAGGCACTGGAAGGGGCTCTGAGCTCTCCCCTTTTTCGCCTTCTCTTCTCCAGGCTGAACCCCCCCACCTCTCCCAACCTCTCCTCCCAGCAGAGGGGCTCCAGCTTCATTTTGATTTTTTGGCTATGACATAAAAGCCGTGAGCCGGCTGTGCCGGGCTGCTGCTACCGGGGCTCCGCTGAGCCCCCCCCGGGTCCCCCCTCCCCGCCATCAGCGCCCCGCGTGTGGTAAAACCCCACCAGGCTCAGCACCGCGCTCGCTCAGGCAGGAGGGTCTGGGCACCGCACCGACAGGGTCCGGGTAGCGCATGGGGGGGGTAAAGCATCCTTCAAGGCCCCGGCAGCCTCACCGCCATCCTCACCCTGGAGGAAATGGCTTTTCTCGGTGACAAAATCCCTTCCCAGCCCCGTCCCCGCTGGGGTGACGCCTCGTGCAACAGCAGCTCCAGGAAGGACTCGCCGCGCGTCCGCGTCACAGCCCTGCGAGAAGGGCGGGAGCGAGCCCAAATCGCCCAGGGTGAGCCCCTCTCACCCCACGCTGCCCCAAAAGGAGCAGGAAGGAGTTGTCCTCACGCAGCACCGGCCCAGATTCACCCCTCCGGGCTCTGGCCATGCACAAGCCAGGCGTCCGCTCCGGCGTTTAGCTCCTCTCGGCTCAGCGGAGGAAGACGGCGCTCGGAGAGGGATTGGTCTCGGGCAGTTTCAGTCCTGATGAGGGGTTGTGCTTGAACAAAACCAGTGCTATCATCCATCCCACTGCCCAGGCTCGGCAGGTAAAAATTCACAGAATCATCGAATCACTAAGGTTGGAAGGGACCTTTAAGATCATCAAGTCCAACCATCAACCTCCCCTGACAAAACCACCTCTGAACCATGTCCCCGAGCACCACCTCTACCCTTTTTTTAAACACCCCCAGGGCTGGCGAATCCACCCCCTCCCCGGGCAGCCGATTCCAATGTCTAATAACCCTTGCAGTGAAAAAATGTTTCCGAATATCCAACCTAAACCTCCCCTGGCATAACTTGAACCCATTTCCTCTCCTATCGCTTGTCACCAGGGAGAAGAGCTCAGCCCCCACCTCTCCACACCTTCCTTTCAGGGAGTTGTAGAGAGCGAGAAGGTCTCCCCTCAGCCTCCTCTTCTCCAGGCTGGACACCCCCAGTTCCCTCAGTCGTTCCTCGTAAGACGTGTCCTCCAGACCCCTCACCATCTCCATTGCCCTTCTCTGGACACGCT